TATCACCATCTTGTATCATCCCGGAAAGGCCAATGTGGTGGCCGATGCTTTGAGTAGGAAGTCAGCTAGTATGGGCAGCTTTGCGTATATTCCAGTTGGTGAGAGACCGCTTGCTTTAGATGTTCAGGCTTTAGCCAATCAGTTTGTGAGGTTGGATATTCTGAGCCCAGCCGTGTTCTAGCTTGTATAGTCGCTCGATCTTCATTATTTGAGTGTATCAGAGATCGGGAGTATGATGACCCTCATTTGCTTGTCCTTAGGGACACAGTGCGGCACAGTGATGCCAAGCAGGTTACGGTTGGAGATGATAGAGTTTTGAGGATGTAAGGTCGTGTTTGTGTGCCTAATGTGGATGGGCTTCGTGAGATGATTCGAGAGGATGCCCATAGTTCTCGGTATTCTATCCATCTGGGCGCCGCTAAGAGGTATCAGGACTTGCGGCAACATTATTGGTGGAGGAGGATGAAGAAGGATATTGTTACATATGTAGCTCGGTGTTTGAATTGTCAGTAAGTTAAGTATGAGCATCAGAGGCCTAGTGGTTTGCTTCAGAAGATAGAGATTCCTGAGTGGAAGTGGGAGCGTATCACTATGGACTTCGTTGTTGAACTCCCACGGACTCAGAGGAAGTTTTACGTAGTTTGGGTTATTGTGGATAGACTAACCAAGTCAGCGCATTTCATTCATGTGGCAGTTTCCTATTCTTCAGAACGGTTGGCAGAGATCTATATCCATGAGATCGTTTGTCTTCATCGTGTGCCCGTGTCTATTATTTCTGATCGAGGTACACAGTTTACCTCGCATTTCTGGAGGGCAGTGCAACGTGAGTTGGGTAAGTGGGTCGAGTTGAGCACAGCGTTTCATCCTCAGACGGACGGACAGTCCGAGTGTACTATTTAGATCTTGGAGGATATGCTCCGCACTTGTGTTATTAACTTTGGAGGTTCTTGGGATCAATTCTTGCCGTTAGCGGAGTTTTCCTACAACAACAACTATCAGTCGAGTATCTAGATGGCTCCCTATGAGGCTATGGTAGACGGTGTCGATCGCCGGTTGGGTGGTTTGAGCCGGGGGAGGCTCGGTTATTGGGTACGGATTTGGTACAAGATGCCTTGGATAAGGTTAAGATCATTCAGGATAGACTTCGTACAGCTCAGTCCAGGCAAAAGAGTTATGCCGACCGTAAGGTTCGTGATGTGGCATTCATGGTCGGAGAGAGAGTGTTGCTTCGGGTGTCACCCATAAAGGGTGTGATGCGGTTTGGGAAGAAGGGCAAGTTAATCCCTAGGTTCATCAGGCCTTTTGAGATCCTTGATCGAGTAGGAAAGGTGGCCAACAGACTTGCGTTGCCCCAAGGCTTATCAGTGGTACATCCAGTATTTCATGTGTCCATGCGTCGGAAGTATCACGACGATCCATCCCCCGTGTTAGATTTCAGCACTATCCAGTTGGACAATAATTTGACCTACGAGGAGGAGCCGGTTGCTATTCTAGACCGGCAGGTTCGTTAGTTGAGATCGAAAAGTTATCCTTCGGCTCGTGTGCAGTGGAGAGGTCATCCTGTCGAGGCAGCTACCCGGGAGTCCGAATCCGATATCCGGAGCAGATATCCCCATCTTTTCACCGGCTCAGTTACTTTTCTACGTCCGTTCGAGGACGAACGATTGTTTTAGAGGTGGAGAATGTGATGACCCGAAAGGCCATCTTGTCCAATTCGGGGTTCCGAGGCCTTCAAAATCTTATTTTATATCTTCTCGATTTGCGTGCACAATCCGAGCGCATTTCTGGAAAGCCTTTATGTGTAAATTTGAGAAAATAATAATTTTTGCCTTTAAAAGTTGAATTTAGTTGACTTTGGTCAATATTTTGGGTAAACGGACCAGGATCTGTATTTTGACGGTCCTGGAGGGTCCGTTGTAAAATATGGGACTTGGGCGTATGCCCGGAATCGGATTCGGAGGTCCCTAGCCCGAGCAATGAATTTTTGTTAAAAATTGTTAAGCTGAAAATCTAAGGATTTAATAAAATCGATTAATGTTTGATCTCGTTGGTATCGAGTCCGTATTTTAGTTCTGAAACCCGATACAGGTCTGTTATGATATTTATATCTTATCTGTGAAGTTTGGTAAAAAACGAGACTGATTTGATGTGATTCGGACCTTTGGTTGAGAAAATAGAAGTTTTGAAACTTTCTTGAAAATTTCATGCAATTTGGTGCTAAGTTCGTAATTCTAGGTGTTATTTTGGCGATTTGATCGCACGAGCAAGTTCGTATGATATTTTAAGACTTGTGTGCATGTTTGGTTTGGAGCCCCGAGGGCTCGGGTGAGTTTCGGATAGGCTACGGAGTGATTTGGACTTAAGAAAAATTGCTGGTATGTTTCAGGTATAGAGACTTCGCAATTGCGAGGTCTGGGAGGGGACTGGGAAGTTCGCATTTGCGAAGAATTGGCCGTATTTGCGGAAGTCCTTGTTCGCATTTGCGACTGGGACTTCGCATTTGCGAAGGCAGCAGAAATGCGAGGGGTTCGCATTTGCAGTACCTTTCTCGCATTTGCGAGTGCTAACCTCAGGTCGTAAATACGACATCTGCAGCTGATAAGTTTGGACTTAGACGGGATTTTTCATTCATTCTCCCATTTTTCAAAACCTAAACTTCAAGAGGCGATTTCCCAAAGGCTAGTTCTTCCCCAAATCATAGGTAAATGATTCTTAACTCATTTCTTTCAATCTATTACATCTTTTTACAAGATTTCATCTTAGAATATAGGGTTTTTCATGGTGGAATTGGGTGTTTTTGGGTAGAACTTAGAAATTTCAAAATTTGGGGATTCAGACCTCAAATTGAGGTCGGATTTCAAAACCAATTGTATATTCGGGCTCGGGGGCGAATGTGTAATCGGGTTTTGGTCCGAACTTCGAATTTTGACCAAGCGGCCCAGAGTCGGTTTTTTACTTTTGGGGGAAAATATTGGAAAACTTACACTTATGCATTAGAATCGATTTCTTTAGCGATAATTTATGTTATTAAGTTAATTATGACTAGATACTAGTGGATTGGAGGTGGAATCTAGAGGAAAAGCGATAATTGATCTTTGAATTGGCCGTTGGATTGAGGTAAGTGTTTGGTCTAACTTTGACTGAGTGATTAGGGATCCCCGACTTAATTGCTATGTGAAATTTCATGTGTGTGGTGCATAGGTGTGGTAACGAGTACCTATGCGCCGCCAAATTATTTGTTTAGCTTGTTCCCTTCCCCGTTCCATATATATTCTCTTCCTGTCTTAACTGCTACATGCTTATTAGTGCTTCCATGTCTAATTGTTTCTTGTTAAATATTGTTTTCTTTACTGAAGATATCAATTATTCCGTAGTTTCCTTGTATTACATTATTGGTTTAAGTTGGTTTATTGGTGTTTCATGGTACATCTTGATTGGTCTCGGTGTGTAGTATTAATTGATGAAGTTTCATAATTGTATAGATTTTCTTTTGGTTTGGTTTGAGGCATAAATATTGTGGAGGGTTTTGAGTTAAATTGCGAAATCCTTGTTACGTTGTGTGATTGGTACTGATATGGTGGGATCAGTTTTCACGCCGCAACATGAGGAATAAGGCTGATATATTGAGGAGGAATAAGGATGAAACGTGATTGTCTGGTGGGATTGGGATGTGCGCCGCAACAGGAGTAATAAGGGTGGACAGGTGGGATTGGGTTGCATGCCGCAACAGGAGCAATAAGGGTGATACATTGAGGAGTAATAAGGGTGGACAGGTGGGATCGAGTTGCACGCCGCAACAGGAGTAATAAGGGTGGATGTTTCTATTGTTACTGATTATATGGTGGGATCGGGATGCGCGCCGCATCATTTTGTTGTTTATGCATTCTTTTTTTAGGTGAGATTCTACTTCGTAGTATTGTAATTCTCTTAAGGATTGGTTATAGCTGAGTACTGGCAAGATACTTGAGTTCCGTATTTATTTCACTGCAAGTACTGTTTCATTTTGTTCCGTACTTTTTTTTTGCTTTATTATATATTGTATGCAGGTTATGTTGTAAATGCCCCGCCGTAGCCGCGTCACTACCTCGTTGAGGTTAGGCTCGGCACTTATCAGTACATGGGGTCGATTGTACTGATACTGCACTCTGCACTTTCTGTGCAGATTTTCGAGTTGGTTGTGGCTGATCGAGAGGTCGGTTGCAGGTATTCATCTAGGAGACCCAAGTTAGTCCTGCAGGCGTCCGCAGGCCCTGGCGTCCCCTCCTATGTTCTACATTTCTGTTTTATTTTCTTTCGAGATAGATGTATTTTCTTTCAGACCCATACTTGTAGATATTCATAGAATGTTCGTGGATTGTGATACCAGTTTCTGGGTGGTAACTGTTTCGGTATTGTTATTAGTATGAGGATGATCGGTTAATTATGTACTTCCGCATTTATTTTCGTTTGATTTAGCTTTCTTAGTTTTAACTATAAAATGTAAAGGAAAAAGGTAAATAGAAGTCTAACATTGGCTTGCCTAGCGAGTGCGATGTTAGGTGCCATCACGGTCCCGACGGTGAAAAACTCGGGCATAAAGGGGTCACCGGCACTCGTAAGTTCGGCAAAAATTCCATGTATATATGTATGTGTCTTTAGAAAATAGTGATATATTAATAGTGGGCACTCTATATACAAAACGGATTTTTGTTGAATCAAAAAGTACACCCGCGACTTTCAAATCCTGGGTCCGCCTTTGATTATAAAGAAATATATTACTATAAATCCCACTTTTTTTCACGCAAAAAAAAGAGAAAAAAAAAGAAAAAAGGTAAATACCACTCTGTAGACACAAGAGTTGCCTGTAAGGACGGACTAGTACTAGTATTATTCCGCTGCCAGAGAAACGAAATGGATGTTTTTGACACCAAAAGTCTCTCTGTTAACTCAAAGTTCCGTTTATTTCCAATTACAGAAGTTTTCCGTTTGGATGCCAAATATAAAAAAGAATAGCACCAAACTCACGACTCTGCTTACTCTGTCTCCCACGGTGCCACCCCGTCCAGCAAAGGTTAGTCCTTTCCCTCCTCCTTCCAAAGAGCGACCATATTCTCCCTTTTTTTCTTGTGCGTTTTATCTAATGGTTAGTTTCTTTCAAATTGTTTCTCTTTATTTATTAGCATCGATAATGCATTGCTACAGCTTCTTTCCTCTATTTTTTCTCTCAGTTGGACGTACATCCTTTTGAAGACTAAAGAGAAAACTGCATTTTTATACTTGACACCATTTTAAAATTTTACGCTTAAGACGGTATTAATAATATTGTCCAAGATACGACCTTTTCTTCTTGTTCTGTTCTTAGTTTTTGGTGTTTTGAGTTTTTCATGTTACCCTTTCGTAGTTTGAACTTTCTGAAGCTGTTACTGCCTTCGTCTTTTCCGCTTCGATGTGTTTACTTATTCACTAAAAGGGAAAAAATGATTTTCTTAGTTTATGGTTTTCTTCGATAGTCTATTTGAAAGGGATTTTAAATTTTAGATTGTTAGACAGTGAGACAAAGTTTCTTCTCGAAATTTTCTAGAGAATATTTTTTTTCATATTTATGGTATCCGGACTAGCTTGTGCGCACCTCGACTAATTCCACAGGAACCTGATATCTCCCGCCAGTACAACTATCGGGTAACTCTGTCCCAAGGCTTGGGCAGATGGGAAGAAACTACACCTAGTGTTTTTTGCCTCCGCTAGGATATGAACCTGAGACCTTATAATTCTCAACCCACTTCATTGACCACTAGACCACATATTTGGGTGCCGTAGGATATTTTTCTTCATACCATATGCACTTATTTTGATTGAACGTCGGAAAATGTTACTAATTTAGGAAACTAATTAAAATAAGGGCATTTGACAAATTCAAAGTTGAGCTGCTTTCAACATGATAAGCGTAGGGAGAAGGATGGACAGATATTGTTTTCACTATTATATCTCTGTAGATCAGTAAGGCTACCTCCAAATTCGTTCATTTTGTTTAGGGGGATCATAATCATTGTGTAAGAGAAATGACTGAGTAGTTTTTATACTAACTTTTGGAATTGCTATGTAAGCTTTTGTTTTTAACTGAGGTTTGAATCTCCCTCTTACCACGATTACACCTACTTCACTAATGTTAATGACCAAAATGTATTTGTTTAGCTGAAAAAGAGTTGCCTATATTCACTTTGAATTATTATCTTCAGAAAAGAAAATGGTTGAAATACTCTTATTAGAGATGAAGGGATGCATGGTAGCTGATTGCTGCATTTGCTGGAAATGGTAAACTTAAATGTTCAAATGTCTAGATATGTCTTTTTAGTTATCTTAGGTGCATGATTTTGCATTATTTAGGTATGACTTTTATATTATCAATGTGGCTAGGTTCGTAGAGTGCACGAAAGAGGTCTAAAGAAATATGTCTAAAGACTATTAACGCCTATAATAGCACCCTTTGTAATGTTGTCTTATAACTTATGAGAATGGAGTCTTTCAGAATATTGACTATATATTATGGTTTATGTTTATCTCCCTCTTCTATCCTCTTTGTGTCTCCTATCTTATACACTTATTATACTCCAACATCATTCTTGTATTAATTAGGTGATAAATTGTAACACCTGGGAGTGAATTTGTGTGACCTCCTGGGCTTTTCTGTGATGTTTCAAGCCACTCTTTTGCAACTAACTCGAGGAAAAGATGGTCAATGCTAAGAGTTAGAAACATATAGCTTGTAAATCCGTTCTTAGCATGTATACTTCTAGCTGTGGTTACTGCTCTTCCGCTGTATTTCCTTTTCACGACTGCTGTGATTATGCTTTTCTTGGGCAAAGAGTCTCTCGAAAACAGCCTCTCTACCTTCACAAGGTAGGGGTAAGGTCTGTGTACACACTAACCTCCTCAGACCCCACTTGTGGGACTATACTGAGTATGTTGTTGTTGTTGTTTATTCTTAGGATGTATACGAAGTGAGCGTAGCCCCATATCTTCATTGACCATTGCTCAATATGTTTTGATTTGTGGCAGGTTATTTGAAAATGTTTCTGAAATCTCGGTTGTCATGGAACGTAATAATCCCTGCTGAGAATCTTGACGTTGAAGGCTTAACGCTTCAGAAGGAGATTGTCATTCGCCTCTTGAAAGAATTTGCTTCCAAGAAAGCGTCAAAGAATCTTGGTTACTTTTTAGCTGTCACTGCATTGGAGAAGATTGGAGAAGGAAAAGTTCGAGAACAGATGGCTGGTGATGTGCTTTTCCATGTAGAATTCAGCTGCATTACGTTCAAGATGTTTCGCGGAGAGATCTTGGAAGCGGTAGTTCACAAGATATTGAAGCACGGCGTCTTTTTGAAATGTGGCCCTGTGGACAATATATACCTATCTAATAAGATGATGTCGGATTATGAGTATGTGCATGGAGAAAATCCCATCTTTATGAATGAGAAGATGTCAAGAATTGAGAAAGGTACTGTGATGCGTTGCATTGTGATAGGAACAGAGTATAAGGAGGAGGGGAAGGAATTATTAGCACTTGTGAGCTTGGAGGGTGATCACCTTGGACCTATCTCATCATAGAGTTCTGATTAAAGATAGAGAGTAAAGCTAACTTCAGTAGTTATATCATATGTGTTTAGTACTGCTTTGGACTCTCCCTGAAGTGTCTTGTTTTTTCATTTGGTTGCTTAAGCCCTCTAGTAAATGTGTAAATGTTTCAAGGACATAGCTATGTTAAGGTGATGACCTTTTATACCTGAAATACCCTTCCAAAGTGTCTACATTCTCATGACTGATTTCTTTAAAAGTGGGATAACACATAAGATGCTCCCTCAACTTGTCCCCAAAACTCAGTTTCCCATTCAACCTTTACGGGTCTTCCTTTTCCATCTTATACTTGTACGAAATGAATTTAATACCTCCCTGAAACATATACTACCAATCTCATGGTGGAAGGTGTTGCACACTCTCCCTATGTCTTGGCCGCGTATTATCCCAACAGATTCAAGTTGATTTTACCTTTTCTTTTTTACTTTGTTTTTTAATTTTTACTCCTTATTCTTATTTCTCTTTTTTAAATTTGCATCTCCTTCCTTGTAGAAAATCTCTTTTCTCATACTCCCTTCCTACAGTGCAATCCTTTACCCTAATTACAAAATTTAGATTAAGATAAATTAGTTTTCAAAGTTAATTGAGATTTTTGGCATTGTAATACCAAAATTTCGGCAGCATCGGAAGAAATTTTTCGGCCAACATCTGGTGGAATTTTATAGTTTTAATTGACTTTTCCATGTTTATGCAATTTCATGGATTTTCAATAGTCAAAGGTGAGGATACAACTAATGATTTTTACAATCTCTGGTTAATTTTTCATCTTAATTTTCTACCGGGAAAAGGAAGGGGGATAGGCTGGAGGTTTTGCTGATGAAAAATAAAAGGAGGAGAGAGGAAAAGTTGGAGAAAGAAAAGGAAAGGGACAAGAGCAAGAAAATCTGCCCTTAAAAAGTTGTGGAGCGAAAATGGAGAAGAAAGAAATGGCGTTGAGA